GTCACACTCTCTCAGCCTCCGAGGATGGCAATGGCAAACCCCCTCTGAAGAAACTTGCCAAGAAAACCCTGTGACAAGTTCACCTTGGGGTTGCAATAAGTCGGAAACGACTTGAAAGCATACAACAACAACCAGCATGGGTCCCATCCCCCCTGACCATACCACCTGATGGGAGCTGGAATCCTGCAACAGTAGGAGTCTATAACCATCCCCAGTTATAGGGAGATATTTCTAGCTCCTGCTTCCCAGCCTCCCAACCTGGCAGTGAAATGGACTCGGATCTCATCCAAAGTGCTGGCTTGAGTTCCCTTTGCCAAGACCCTTTTTCTTTTCCTCTTCCTTCCTTCCTTCTCTCTATTTTCCTTTTGTTTGCCTTTTCCTCCTTCTCCATTCATTCCCGGATGCAGCACACAAAAGTGAACAACCAAGGTGCCCAAATTGGCTGCAAAGGCAGAATTGGAACTGAGACCATGTGGGGTTCTTGGGCCAAAAAGGGGACTGAATGAATCCCTTCCCTTGGCAAGAGACCAGGGCCTCGTTCCAAACCCTGAACCCCAATTTTGAAATTTCTCTCTGTCTATGATGCCCAAATTATAGATAAGGAAGAGTTAAAACAACAGTATGATTTTATTTTGGTTGGAGGCAGCAGTACGTTTAAGCATTAAATTTGGTTTTGTATAAATTGAGATCACAAGAGAATCCCAGGATGGGTTTCCCATTAAGGAGGGCAAATGAAAGGGGGGTGTCTGATATTTTAATATTTCATTTGTTGATCTGTTTTAATATTGTAAATATTGTAAATATTAAATTTACAATAATTTAATTCCATTGTCATTGTCACTTCTGTACATTTTTAATTGTACTGCGCATTTAGAGGGTGAGCTGCTTTCAGTTCAAATTTTAGGGGGCAAAGCAAGATACAAATAAATATAAATATAATTAATAATAATAATAATAATAATAATAATAATAATAATAATAATAATAATAATAATAGCCCCTCCCCCCAAATAAGAATCCACAAATGAAATTTTCATTTAGTTCCCAAATTTCTAGCATTTAACAGAGTAAGAGACTGAAAATCATCATTGCCTAGAACTTCTATTTGCTGTGCCTTGCATTCCTTTGGTCACTTTGTTTTTTTCTCCCTTTTCTTTGGATGCCTAAAGGCTATCTTCTAAATGCTCGTCTTAAATTTTTAAATTACTGAAATGCAGGAAATTGGAGGACTGAAGGAAAATTTCATTCAGCGGAGACAGAATTTCTGTAGCAACAGCCCTGATGGGTCGACCACCTTTGGGGCTGGGTACTCAGAGTGGCAAAGAGAGGAAGCAGTGATATCCATCGAAATAGGACAAACAATTTGTCACAATTTGATCGCTGCAAAACATTTAACTAGCTGCTGTGTGTCAACACCAGATAAGAATGATCAAACATGATTTCACAAATACACTTACAGACCCAGCTTTTCAGTACAACAAAGCATGGGTGCTACACTGTCTGTCCATATGTGATATATATATATATATATATATATATATATATATATATATATATATATATATATGAATGCCACCTTTCTCCCAGGAGGGACCCAAGGTGACTCACAGAGAAAAAACCTGCTAAAAACAATACAATAAAATTTAAAACAGTGCATTATTATTATTATTATTATTATTATTATTATTATTCAAGTTTATTTATAAAGCACTGTCGACGTACACAGCGCTGTACAAAGAGACAATCAAAGCATAAAATAGAAATTAAAACCTGCCAAAGGCGTACAATCTAAAAATACAAAACAATAGGTAAAATAATAAAAGTTAATTAAGAGCAAGGAACAATTACAACAACGAAACAACAACATCCACAGTGAAAAACATCTAACAAAATTGTAAAGTTTACATGAAAAGATACAAAAGTTAAAAGACATAACTAAAACTCCATAACCCCCCAGAAAAATGTACGCATGTGCATGTGTGCCTTTAAATCACCTGTTGACTTACGGCAACTCTATGAATTTCCGAGGGTTTTCTTAGATAAGGAATCCTCCTTGCCAGTTCCTTCCTTGCAAATATAGCCTACTGGAGGTCTCCCATCCAAGGACTAACCAAGGCTGACCCTGCTTAGCTTCCAAAATCAAATAGGAAGTGGTACCTTAGGGGTATTTAGACCCTTCCCTCCAACATTTCATAGACGGAAACCAGAACACGTGGGGCCAAGCAAGATCAGCGTGTGGTCAAGATGGCAGAATAAATAGATGGCTCTTGGGGTCTCTTCCAATTTGTAAGCCGCTCTGAGAGTTTTTGTGCCTGAAGAGTGGGGAATAAATACTCCCAATAAAATAAAAATAAAAATAGGATCCTATGCATCTCCAACCAGCGCCAGTGGACTAAATCATGGGATATTTCTAGCATGCACAAACTACGCCATCCTTGCAAACAGCAGCTATTTTTAGTGCCACATCCAACCCGGGTGCTTGGCTCTGTCGTTTCACATTTGCAAACACCACTAGTACCAATAAGAGCCTGGCATCCCATGCCACATTCTGTTATCCATCCCTAGGGATCCGTGGCTCATGCGGCCCCCAAAATAGTCGCCGACCCAGACTGAAATGTATTGTCTGTTGCACTTTTTAAAAAATTCCAATTATTTATTTTATTACTGTTTGAGCATCAATAAATAAATAAATACTTGGAATTTTCAAAAAAGGTGCAACACACAATACATTTCAGTTGGTCATTTATTAATGCTTAGACCAAAAGCCATTCGCGTACAAAGGCTTAAAATACAATACAAGATGTAAGAACAGCGTGAGAAAAGGACAGCTGAAAATAAATTGTGTTGCATGTCAAAGGATGTAAAACTCAATTCGGTTAAAGCCATAAAATAGGGACAATAATACATTTCCAGAATACTTCAATGGGAAATACAGGAGGACGGGGCTTGGTATCTGCTTGATGTCCAAGTCCCATTAAATAGTTTCCCTTGTATTTTTAAAGCTGCTTGGATCCATAGATAAAAGATCTGTGCATACAGACAGCTGACTAAATACATTTTTTAAAAAAATGATAGAATTAAAATACATCAAAAGTTAACATCAACACTGTCCTAGTTGGGGATTCTGGGAGCTGTAGTCCTCCAAACATAATGCATTTACATAGAAAAATTTTCCACGCATAGTGCATTTACATAGAAATGCAAATGCTATTGCTATTGTTCATGTCACCTGAGCAAACTGTGTTTATTTACCAGCTGTAGTACCCAGCATGGCACAGGAGATGTTGTTGTTATTGTTGTTGTTGTTGTTGTTGTTGTGTGCCTTCAAGCCACTTCTCACTTATGGCAACCCTATGGTTAGTTAGTTGGTTAATCCTCTGCCATCCCACTTTTCTGGATGCTTTTAAAATGTCCCAGTTTCTCTTCCCTCCTTTCCCTTTCCCCCTTTGTCCTCAGCTTCCTCCAACAGTTGCAAGCTGAATTCAAAGGGCAAAAAGTAGTTTGCAGTCCATTAACTCAAAGAGAAGAGAGGAGGAGGAATCTTGTCCTTCCCAGTTGGCTTAGGCAAAAGCAAACTGCTGTAGCCTCTCTGAGCTTGTCTGTTTGTTTGTTTTTTTCTCATTGATAACTTTTGCCCTCCAGACCACATTCTGATGTTGCTTGGCCGCATGTGTCCTAGCCTTCCTATGTGAAATGTTGGCAGGTATGCTAGAATTCCCATAGGAAGGAGCACGATGGTCATACTGAACTGGTATAATTGTGCAGTTTGGATGCACCCTAATTTTGCAATGTTTGTGACTGATTTTGCAGCATTTATGACTGATGACTTCAAGAACGAATCTGGCAAAGGCAAGGAAGAATCACCTTCTTGCAACACCTTTGACTCTTCAAGATCCCTTTGCATACTAGTTTTCCAGACTAACACAGCTAGGTCTTTGCGTTCATCCAAGGCAGGGTTTTTCATTCATTTCATTAAAAGCACTTTGCATATGCACAAAGGAACTCTTGTTCAAGAGTTCCTTTTCCTCCCCCTTTCCTCTCTTCCAAACTTTTATAACTGGAAATAAAAACCCCAAAAAAGTTGTCAAGGATGGAATGGAATGGAAGCACATCTTAGAGAGAAAAGCCAACCGAGGGGACGCTTTGAAAAACATTTCAAATGCACCCACAAGAGAGGCACTGTTCCTTGTTCTCCAGCGGATGTCATTTCGCACCCGTTTCCAAAGCCAGAGCCATTTTTTGGATGGCCTTGAAAAGCTTGCCACCTCTGATGGCTCCTTTCTCAGAAACATTGGCTGCAAAAGGTGTGCAAAAAAGTGTGGGAACCCCGTTCTGCTCTCTCCAGTCGTCCCAGAATGACAAATGTCTTTTCAAAAGAGGCCTTCACCACTTGAAAGCGCTGCTCCTTCATCCCAGGAAGGGTTGTTCATTTCCGTCCAAGGCACTCTGCGTATGCACAAAGGAACTCTTGTCCTTGCCTCAAGGGCTCCTTTCTTCTCCTTTCCTTCCGTTTCCCGTCTTTGCCCATCCATTGGATTTGGAGAGTAAGCTCTTACCAGCGGGAGGGGATCCGTCCTCTCTTTTGGGGCTTATAGTCCTCAACAAAAGTGCAAGAAAAATTCAAAATAGTTTCCTTTGTAGCAGCAGCCAGAAAGGAAAAAAAAATTTTTCCCCCCAATGCCAAGAGCATTTGGCTGCTACAGAGATTTATCTGACAGCAAAGTCCACATTGTATGGGTGCCTTTTCTGTTCCCTGTTCCATATTTAGGGAATGAAATATTAAAAGACTTTGGGGTATTTCTTGCTCAGTGCCGCACCAAAACACAGATTCAGCTTGTTGAAACATTTTTCGCTGTGGTTGTGTGCCTTCAAGTCGTATCCGCCTTATAGCAACCCTAATGTGAACCTATCGTGGCAAAATTTGTTCAGAGGGGCTTTGCCGTTGCCTTCCCCGGAGGCTGAGAGAGTGTGCCTTGTCCAAGGTCACCCGGTGGGTTTAATGGCTGAGCTGGGAATCGAACCCTGGTCTCCAGAGCCATAGTCCAACATTCAAACCACTATGCCACAACATACACTGTGGCCTATAAAGCATCCATAGATATGGAGGTCTGACAGTACAATGGTGAGGATTCTTTTGGTTTCTCATGCAAGTCCCTCTATGGATGGGAGCATACATATTTATGGAAAATCCGCACTCAGTTCAAGGAAGCAGAAAGAAAGTTGTGCATGGCGTACCATAGTGCACCGAACATTTTGCATGCCTTTGGAGGTGCGTTTAGTTGTGCACTCAGTTGCACTTCTGCTGCATACCCTCCAACTTTCCCGATTTGGCTGGGACAGTTCCAGTTAATCCTCTGTCTTCCCACTTTTCATCAGCTTTTAAAATGTCCCGGGTTCTCTCCTCCTCCTCCTCCTCCTCCTCTCACTTTCTCCTTTTGTTCTCGGCGTACTTCAGTTGATGCAAATGGACTTCCAAGTGCAAAGGAGCATTTCAACACGTTTCTGCAAACTTTTTTTACTCCAAACTAACAAAATGCACATGCGAAAAGCAAACAGTAATATTTTGGACCACATTTTGAACCTGGAAGTTTGTTCCAAAGTGCACCCAAGGAATGTTTTTTCTTTTTTCTTTCTTTCTTTCCCCAAACTGGAACAGTTTTATCCAACTCAGGGCACAAAGAACTCCAATTCTGGGGACTAGGGGGCTAATTTTCCACCCCACTTTTCCTACGGCGCCCATACAGTTTGATGATTCTAAGAGGGATCCAAAGGCACCAGATCCCTTCCGATCATGGAAGCTAAGCAGGCTCAGCCCTGGTTAATCCTTGGATGGGAAACCACCAAGGAATCCCAGGTGCTGGAGGCTCTATTTCAGAGGAAGTAACTGGAAAAACCCACCTTTTGAGGAAATCAATTCCTTGACTAAGAAAACCTGATGAAATTTATGGGGTTGCCATAAGTCGACAGGTCATTTGAAGGCACAATATAAAAGGCACTGGATCCTATCTGATCTTGGAAGCTAAGCAGGGTCAGGCCTGGTTA